AGTTACAGAATGGCTGGGACTGCCACTCAGCTCTGTGAGAGAGCAACTGGGTCAAACCATGAGATCTGCTACAGGCAGAGCCTTCTGAAACACAGCACAGAATGGGAACCAAGCTGCAAACCCAGCACCTGCCTGCACTGCACTTGCTCAATTCCTGCTCCTTACGTCCCCCTCAATGACATTCAAAGCACAGTAGTGCCAGAGAAGGGAGGTTATCAGTGCTGCATGCCAAAGTATTTGTTTATTTTGTGTCTGTTGAGAGAGCTGCAGGCGTCCTCCCTCCACTGAGTTGATAGAAAGGACGCCTGGAGAACACTGACATTGCCTTGTAAAGGGCAGAACTCCATCGAGGTCACACTACAGTACTTTGTGTGGAGGAGAATAAGAAAAAGCAATTTGCTCTGATGAACAAAACAAAGCAGAAGTGAATGAGCGAAGGCTGTGGGAAGCTGGAACCTCCCTGGACAGCCCTCTGTGCCCATGCTTGATGCCAGCAAAGTACAGGGCAGACTTTGCTCTGCATCGTGTAGTTTCTAGGAGCTACCTGTATTGCATAGGCAAATTTTAGCTGCAAACAACCAGCGCTGTCAGCCACTCCAAAACACAAGCAGTGGCTCTGGCCAGCACCCAGGTCACAGCACAGGGCTCAGCAGCAGCCCCTGATGCTCTATGCCATCACAGCAGCTACGTGATGATGGAAGGAACGGGCTGCAAACAGGAAAGCAAGAGCAAATCAATGTTAATGATGGGGAATACCATCAGTTTTCCCAGGAGCACCAAAGTAGCATTTTTCCATGCTTCTCCCTTGGTCCCAACACAAAGAAAGGAGCCCATGCCAACTGGCTGGCTGTAAGCACGAGGCTCTGCATGTAAACACATTACAGCCTGACACAGCCCCTAATGACAGCTATGTGCTAATTAGGACTTCACAAGCTTTGTTAACAAACACGACCCAGACCTGGCTCTGACCAAACCGGTGTGAACAGCACAGGAGGAAGGTGACTCAGTGCCTGTTCTCAAACCACATCACAAAGTGCTGGTGCTGTCCCAAGCTCCAGGAACCACCCCAGGGCTTTCAGGACACCGCACAGCTGCGTACGTCCAAAGGTGTAAGTATGACACAGAGCTGCACAGCCTATTAAAGGAGACACCTTCCTGCTCACAGCCTAACAGCCAGCAGTGACATGAGCCCATATAACGCCGAATTATCTGCTCTTACACGCAATTAAGCTCTGCTAAGCATTCATTAAGACAAATCCATGTGTGCTGGCAGCACTGTGCTTTCGTTCCCTGCCTGAACTAAGTCTCATCTGAGACAGGGGAGGTTTGGGTTGGATATTAGGAGGAAGTTTTTCACCCAGAGGGTGGTGAGGCGCTGGAACAGGTTGCCCAAGGAGGTTGTGGATGTCTCTGCAGGCATTCAAGGCCAGGCTGGATGTGGCTCTGGGCAGCCTGGTCTGCTGGTTGGCCACCCTGCACATAGCAGGGGATTGGAACTGGATGAACAATGTGCTGCCAACACACAGAGCTTCTCCAGATAACTTCATCCCTCTCACCGTGACCTGCAGGCTCTCACATGTAAATATTTAAAGAGGAAAGCTGAGCACAGCCCTGAGGTGAACGCTCATATCACCAGCAGTGCCACGGCAGTGGGGCTCAGATCCCCATTGCCCCCCATATCATCAGATCCCAATGCAGCCCTACAGGATGGATGCCAACGTTCCCTCAGGCATTCCTAACAGCACCCTCAGCTCCCCACTAAAGGGCCCCCAGAACCACTCAAATCCCTTCAAGAGCCCCTTGGGAGCCTTCACAGAATCACCAGGGTTAGAAGGGACCTCAAGGATCACAAATCTCCAACCTCCTACCACACGCAGGGCCACCAACCTCCCCATTTAACACCAACCCAGGCTGCCCAGAGCCCCATCCAACCTGGCCTTGAACACCTCCAGGGATGGACGGGGCATCACAGCCTCTCTGGGCAGCTGTTCCAGCACCTCACTGCTCTCATGGCAAAGAACTTCCCCCTGACATCCAACCTCAATCTTCCCTCCTCAACATCAAACCATTTCCCCTTGTCCTGCTGTCATCTCGCCTTTCCAAGAGTTGATTCCCCTCCTGTTTGCAGGCTCCCTTTAGGTACTGAAGGCTGCAATGAGGTCACCCCACAGCCTTCTTTTCTCCATGCTGAACAAGCCCAACTCCCTCAGCCTGTCTTCATTGTGGAGGTGCTCCAGCCCCCTGACCATCTCTGTAGCTCCTCTGGACCCTCTCCAGCAGCTCCCTGTCCTTCTTGTCCTGGGGGCTCCAGCCCTGGATGCAGTGCTGCAGATGGGGCCCCACAGGAGCAGAGCAGAGGGGGACGATCGCCTCCCTGTCCCTGCTGCCCCCTCTCTGCTGTGGCCCAGGATCCCATTTGCTTTCCGAGCTGTAATCACACACTGCTGGCTCATGTTAAGCTTTTCACCCATCAAGACCCCCAGGTCGTTCTCTGCAGGGCTGCTCTCAAGGACCGCTCCTTCCAGTCCGTATAGATGCCTGCCATCCCTCCGGCCCAAGTGCCAAACCTTGCACTCTGCCGTGTTGAGGTTCATCCTCCAAGCCTACTGAGGTCCCTCTGAACGGCATCCCATCGCCTCATCCCCACCACTCAGCTCGGTGTCATCAGCAAACCCGCTGAGGCTCCTCCCAACGACCCCCCCCCCCCCGCACCCCGCAGTGCCACCGCCGGTCTCTCCGTCCCCTCACCTGCAATGCCTCCGCCCTCCGTCCTCCCTCAGCGCCGCCAGATCGACTTCGGCGCGGCCCAGGAACTTATCGAGGCCGACGAGCGCTCGGTGCAGCACGGTGAGGCGCAGCGCTGCGGGTCGAGGCGGCGGCGGCAGTTCGAAAGTCGCCTCCTCCCTCCACAACGGCTGCCCCTGGCATCGCTCCGCCACCGACGTGGAGAACTTGTCGCGGCCCAACGCCATGACGGCGTAAGCATCGCTGCCGCCATGCCCATCGGCCGCTTTGGAGCGCAGCCCCCGCGCCTGAAGCACCGTCACCTGGACGTGGGTCGGCACCCAGCGCGGGGCCGCCGCCGCCGCCGCCATGGCGGGCGGTGCGGAGCGATGAGGAGCCGGAAGCTCCCGACGCGGTGTGGCGTGAGCCACGCCCTCGATCTCGCGAGATATGCGGTGTGGGCGGGGCTTGGCGAAAGGGGGTGTGTGGTCTCGCTGTGGGCGGGGCCTGAGAGTGCGGTGTGCAGGTGTGTGCACATAAAGGTGTGTGAGTGCAGGTGTGTGCATATAGAGGTGTGTGTGCATTATAGAGGTGTGTGAGTGCAGATGTGTGTATATAGAAGTGTGTGTGTGTGCAGGTGTGCGCATATAAAGGTGTATGTGTGCATATAGAGGGGTGTGTGCATATAAAAGTGTGTGTGTGTGCAGGTGTGTGCATATAGAGGTGTGTGTGCATATAGAGGAGTGTGAGTGCAGGTGTGTGAGTGCATATAGAGGTGTGTGTGCATATAGAAGTGTGTGATTGCAGGTGTGTGTGTGCACATAGAGGTGTGTGAGTGCAGGTGTGTATGTGCATAGGGAAGTGTGTGTGTGCACATAGAGGTGTGTG